CTATTTTCTCTCTCCAAATAACTTACCAATTTTTTTCCTCTAATAATGTACCTATCTTTCCTCTTCAAATAATGTACCTATATTTTATATAAATTATTGTGTACCTATTTTTAATTATGAAAAATATACGCAATTACAAAGTAACTGACTTTTTTTTTTTTGGGTAAATAATATACCTATATTTTATATGTATATATTTATATTATATTTTTCATAGGTACATTATTGGATATGTAATTTACAGAATTTTTTTTTTGTTTGCAATTTTAGGGGGCGAGATGTGAGAGGGAATGACAACTAAAAGAAATGGGGTGATTGATATGCTATTAATAGGGAATATATTAATTACAATTATGGCAGTTAATGAAATGCTTGAAATAAATTATAAATAAAATATGAAGTTTAGTGGCAACGATGTAAAAACATAGAAATACTACGACCTCTTATATCTTACTGGTCATTTAAATTTGAATTTGGGTTTTCAACGTAGTTATATAGATATATGGGTTTGTGTCTAGGGGATATCAGTTGTATGGGCTTATATTGGAGTCTCTCTACAATTTACAAATACATACAATTGCTGCATCAGCTTCCATGCAATCAATATTCGTAGCTAATAACTCGGTGGCTCATGGAGAGGGGAAAAGCAAATCAGTTCGAGTCAACCACCTTATTTCCGTGCCTGCTCTGCATATGTACTCCCACATGAGGGTACGATCGAAGGTGGCCAAGGTAATTAATTATAACAAGTCTCTCTAGCTTTGTTATATTACGTGCTTTTCTTTTGATTTATGTGCATCTTCATCAGACTTCATCTATAGGGCATACTAATTGAACTGTCTGATTATCTTTCATTTGTAGGATGGTCAGAAGGAGCAACCGTGTACAGTAACAGATGCATCAAAAAGCCCACCGATTCTCGCACCTCTTCCTTCCAAGGTATAGTTGACATGTTATGTTATCTGGCTATTAATTAACCGGGCTAATAAACGTCGCTTAATTTTGAAACTTAACAAAATAACATGTTAGATATTAGGCAGAAAGCATGACATCTCTCACAGGCAATCAGGAACCAATTTCTATATAACTAGTGTACAAACAAGTTCATGAATATGGTGACATAGATTGTTTTATTTATGGCAGGCTAGCATGCAGACTTGCTCGCACTCAGTGGGCCAGCGCCGGAGAGAATCAACGCAGGCTTGCAATGGTGGGGTTTGTTTCAGCTCTGGCAAATTAATGTTATTGATGAAAACACAAGAAATGTGAAGAGAACTTATGGAGTGAAGCCAAACGCGAGCATGAATCGACCACAAGCCTCAATATCCACAGGAAGAACAGTTGAATATAAAGTCTTGATCAAATGTCTTCCATCTTCTCGAACAAATATTTGAAACGCGGTGATACAAATATGTTGAACCTTGTAAAATTCATAATTAGTGCCAGTCTTAACATGAAAGAAGTCTTGGTTCCCCAAATGCATGGACCCTCTTCCATTAATGTAATGACTTGAAGTCAAGTTTATCGTCTTCGATCATAACTTATTCTACAAGTAGTTTATTTCGTGTCTATCACTCTGAAGTCATTAAGGTTGAAAAGTCTTGAACCAGCTTATAAGTTGTTGAAAAATAATGCACATTTGGTGGAGACTTCTACAAGCTAGCAGAGAATTTTCTAGAATAATTTATGCAAAGTCGGTGGATGTATTCCCTAAACACTAGTCACTAACTTAATTGAAGCTACAATATGTGGCTGGAATTACAAGTTAATGTCGGTTTACTAGAATAACCGATTTTACTACTTGGTTTGTTCCCTCTATAAATAGGCATTAAGCTTTCTGTTTGTAATCAGGCTAGTGATAAGGGCCAATAAGCCAAAAATAGGAAGGAGGCCAATAAGCCTAAACACTAGACATGTACACTAAACACTTTCTAGTTGAAGAAGGCCAATAAAGCTTATTACTAAAAACATCCTCTGTTTTATGACAAACATTCTTATCATGCTAATGTGGGACCAAACATCCTCTGTCTTTGGTTTCTGATGGTCTCCTATTTTGTTAGGAGGGTATCCTTGCTGTGGCGTAGAGGTAGAGCTACCAGTTGATATTTCTCATTTAGTAAAGCTTATTTCCCCTGTTGTGGCAGTAGAGCTATCCAAGGTGAGGATCAACGGCAGGCTTGCAATGGTGGGGTTTGTCTCGGCTCTGGCATTAGAACTATACAATGGCCAAGATGTGTTTGCTCAGATATCCAACGGTGGAGTCACGTTGTTCGTTGCCACTAGTATTTTGCTCTCTGTGGCATCCTTGGTTCCTCTGTTTAAAGGGGCGAGCGTGGAGTCCAGATCAGATGGGATCATGACCTCTGATGCTGAGCTGTTGAATAGAAGGCTGGCCATGTTAGGTCTGGTAGCTTTTGTCTTCACTGAGTATGTGAAGGGAGGGACTCTAGTCTAGGTCTCAATGATTTCCGGTGCTAAACGCCTTGTAAAAGGCTTTCACACATGTTTTTTTTTTTTTTTGGGCTTCATATGCCTTGTAAAAGTCTTTCACATGTACACTTATTTAGTATTTACAAGTGCTTATAAGAATAAAGATATGTTAACAATGGTTATACCCTTAATATACTCTTAATTTGACAGCAAATTTGTCTATGTCAAGAACCGAACAATGTTGATGCCACCACATCAATAATAAGAAGAAAAACATGTTTTGCCAGATGACTAATAGGTTAAATTTAAAGTAGAGGGATCTCCCATGTGAGTTTGGTTACTCCAAACTTAACCTAATATGCACACATAGAAATGAATGATATCCACATACATAGAGACAGCAAGGGCCATGCAAAGAGTACTGGTGTGCTATGGACCTAATTATAACTATCTCCCAAGTCAGAGTACGTAGAATTGTAGAGAATTTGAGTCATTTGGCAGTTTTACTACGTGGAAAAGGAAATGGATCTATTTATCATAAAATAGCTAAGGACAATAGCGTCACTCAAGAAAAAATTTACAATTAGGAAATGTCATACTAGCTTCGGCCCATCATAATCGGTGAAAATAAGAACACCTAAAAAATGTGAACCGACCGGTGTGGCATCTCTCAATTTACAAATTTTGGTCTCAACCGCTTGTTACATTGTAAAAAGGGTTAATTATATTTTTGGTCACTGAGGTTTGGCTCGAAATCAAATTTGGTCACCATAATTTTAATCTTCCCAATTTCGTCATTGTATTAGCATTAGTTAGCAAATCCAATCCAATCTCTCAATTCTGTCAATTTGCTTAATTAAAAAATGTAATTAACCCTCGTAAAAATATGTCAATTTCTTCTCCTCCGAGATTCTTCTTATAAATAATACCATCATACGGGGCATATATATAGGCATTTGTCCAAATATGTAGGAATGATTAAGAGTTCATTTGTTGATTCCAAATATTGGGATGTAGATGATTCCAATCCTAGCATTTTTTCCTAACCATAAATATAACAAATTCCATCTTGTCTTTACTAAAAAATTAAAAAAATTAAAAAAAAAGATCATTCCATCTTCTGCTTATTTATCAAACGTTGGATGTTTCAAAGAAATATTATATTGTTAAAATACAGATTCAATAGTTGCGTATAGCATAATTTCTTGTCAAAAAACAAACGGATATTGTTGGGGGTAGTATGGGTATTGAGAAAGGTCAAACAATGCGTCTCAAGAAATCAGGTGACCCATCACATAGATTTTTCTCAATGAATGGTTGAATTTTAGGGTTAATATCTAATTTTTTCTATTAGTAATAATATACACGTAAGAGAGATGCAGCGTCAAATTCACATACAGAAACAGAAGAATATACACGTAACGTAAGAGTCCTTGTGTTGCGTATGCAAGTGCCGAGCTATCAGCCACATTACAAAGATGAAAAATGTGAATACCTGGAACAAAAGGGACCTCATGAAATCACTGACTGGGACGTTGTAGTGTGTTTGGGGAGCCACGTCCCTCGTACCACCGTGTATGATCGATGTATGGACAACACAACAAAAACATGCCCACAAGTATACATATGCAATCATCTATTGTTTTTCTTTCTCATGAAAATATAAGCCAAAAAGATCTACTAAAATACTCGTGGCCCTGTGAGGCATCGGTCCTCCTGCTCAAATGATTTTTTTTTTTTTTTTAAAGGTGTAGAGCCTTGACAAATTGACATGACCACACCGACTCTAACATGCGGTAAATCCTGCAGCTACGTTATGTATTGAGAAAAACTTATATGTGACGGTGTATGTTTCTTTGAGTATGCCGACTCTTCTCATACCCTGTGAGTTATAGAAGAGGATGAGAGATAGACAGACAGGACTATTGCTAAACTATTTTCCATACGCGGCCCATCATTAGTGGGAAAGCAAATAGTGACGTGGTGCCAAACTATACACCGTTCAAATCAAAGAACTTCCCCCACTGCTATAAAAAGCCACTCAAGGCATACAAATTTATAATACACAAGATCAATAAACAAGCAAAGCTTTCAAATCTATTCTCTCTGATTTATTAGTGTTTAATTGAGAAGCATATACACAAATACAATGGCTGCATCATCATCTTCCATGCAATCAATATTTCTTGCTAGCTCCGTTGCTTATGGAGCTGGAAAGAACAAATCTGTTGGAGTGAGCCACCTTGTTGCACCAACTCTGCATAGCTACCCTCACATGATGAGGGTAAGCTCGATGGCCAGGGTATATATATTCATAAGTCTCTAGCTATAATGCATGTGTATTAATGATATTAATTCAACTTTGTCTAATTCATCTCCCATTTGTAGGATGGTCAGAAGAAGCAACCATCTACAGTAACAAATGCATCAAAAGTTCCTCCACCTTCTCCTTCTTCTCCTCCTCCCAAGGTAGTTTTACTAATCTACATGTGTGTATATTCACAATCACAATATATAATTTAACTACACTAACGAAGTTCAATATATATGGCAGGTTAGCGCCAAGTTATCGGACTTGTTTGCCTTCAGTGGGCCAGCCCCAGAGAGAATCAACGGCAGGCTTGCAATGGTAGGGTTTGTCTCAGCTCTGGCAGTGGAACTATACAATGGCCAAGATGTGTTTGCTCAGATATCCAACGGTGGAGTCTCGTTGTTCGTTGCCACTAGTATTTTGCTCTCTGTGGCATCCTTGATTCCTCTGTTTAAAGGGGTGAGCGTGGAGTCCAGATCAGATGGGATCATGACCTCTGATGCTGAGCTGTTGAATGGAAGGCTGGCCATGTTAGGTCTGGTAGCTTTGGTCTTCACTGAGTATGTGAAGGGAGGGACTCTAGTCTAGATCTCAATCATTTCCGGTGTTTTTTTTTGGCTTAATATGCCTTGTAAAAGTCTTTCACATGTATACTTATTTAGTGTTTACAAATGCTTATAAGAATTTCATCACATTTTGATACTTCAGAATCTAATATACTCTTAATTTATCAGCACAAAAATATGTTTACAATGGTTACTGATTATTCCAAAAACAAAACAATAGTCACTGATAATAAGCTTTACATTCGTGTATTTCCATGTGTTTATTTATATATAAGGAATTATTTAATACGCGGGTTCTATTAAAAAATACTTAATCAAATATCTCCAGGAATGGGAATCGAATCAATTATCCTCTCCTAATTGATCTGATTTATGTTCTTTTTATCCTATTTCATTTCTCATCATACACATTGTTGGTAAGTAAACATGCCATATAAAAGAAGATCAAGGACAAAATTAGGCTCTGAGCTTTGTTTTCAAAAGGAAAGGATTGGGCGGTGCAGATTTAAATACCCAATAGAAATCCAAGCGGTGGCCACGTGGGAGTGGGTCGAAATTATCAGAAAGGATCTTGCCTCCATTTCTTCACGTGGGTTTAGCAGGCAAAGATAAGATTAAGCGAAGCATTAAATGCTCTTCAGTGTTACCCAAACTATCGGATATTTTGTTTATCTTCATCATTCCGAAGCCAATTCACTTCTCCTGATGTCACTATGCCATCAAGTGTCACTATATTATCAAAAAATTGAGGTTGGAAGGAGACACACTCAATCTCTCAGACAGATTTCAAACTTGATCAACTTGGTCTCAAGTTTCTCAACACCCTTCTAGCTTTCACTCCATTGGCAGAACCAACAACAAGGCTGCCATGGGCTCAAGGCCAGGTAGCCTTAAAAAAATCAAAATATACTATATGTATTGTAGTATCATTCATTTTATAAAAGCTTAGTAATTCACTCAAATGTAGCCTAGTAATTTATATTATCCACTCAACTTTGTAGGCCTATAATCATTTTATATATATTTAATTTGTTTGCTCAGTTAAGAAACATAATCCTTTAATAAACACTCATGACTTTAACAGTCATCATATCATCTGTTACAATTAAGTAGCATGATTTATATGATTTAATGTATACTTTTATTTTCAGAGAAATTATAGAAACTATAAGTACAAAAAAAGAGCATTAGATTTTAAGCTAATAACTTTAGCTGGCCTACTCGTTGAAAAATTCCTGGTTCCACTCTTGTTTCACTCTTTAATTTCCAGTTGACAACTTTTGAGAAATCTCTTGTTTATTTGCTCTGCCTTATTCCTTGGTTGGTATGATTTCTTGTTGAAAATAAGCCCTAACTATGATTGTTTAGTTTCATTATATTTCATTTCAGGCAGTCCAAATTGAAGTTTTTTCAATCCGATTCCTTTTCATTTAGTTGTATTTTAGTCCGATCGAGCTTGTTTTCTTTCTTTTTAGTTTGTAATGTCCTTTAGACACAGTTTCATAAGTATTTGAAGCAGTTAGTTTCGTCTAATTTCCACATTAGCACTTTGCTTTCTTTGAGTTTATAATCGCATAACTGGAAATATTGAAGTCCTTAACAAACTAGACATAGAAAAGAATCAACCAAAGCTAATTCCCCACTTGTAGCACAATAGCTTGAAGAGAAATTAAGATTTCTCAAGTCTCGCAAGACATCCACATTATTTCCGGTCTAAATCACACTATTTCTATTGGGCTTTCTAGTACCAATAGTGGCACGCCTGAAACTAAATTTGTACAATATAGAATTGATCCCAAATTAGGATGAACAGAGAGATTGTGTATAAACGAATAGTTCGTTTTGAAATGCAAAATTTGAGTATGTTACCTTTTGAATTGGAAATGGTCTAGAAAAAAAAAATCCTACGAATACCCGCCTATATGTATGTGGTAAGTTATTGTAGAAATTGGTCATGCACCCAAATGCCACCAACCTTAGCATTTTCCTCACCAGAAATATACAAAGTTCTTCTTGTGTTTACCGAAAGAAAATATATATATATATCATTCCATTTTCTGCTTATTTATCAAATGCGTACGCTTGATGTTTCAAAAAATTATTATATTTGTTAAAATACACATTCAATAGAATAGTAATGCAGCTAAG